TTTTGGGCTCACCGTAATTTATTTTCATCAACAAGAGAAATCCTTTCCCCTTTTTAAATATAAGTATATTAAGTTAATTCCTTAAAAATATAAACTGTCACCATATTGTTTCTTTCAAAAAATTATCTGCAAATTAATTCCTTGAAGAACAAATTTAATGCCGAATTATATTTTTAAGAAACTTATTTGATAACAATTTTTTTGGAATATTAGTGTGATGTTTTAAATTTTTTATGGACTAATTTAATGATATAAATTTTAAAATATTAACGTAATGACAACTCAATCTTTAATAGAGTAAGTTACGAATTTAATAATAATAACAATGATAATGAAGTAATTTACTTACTCAGATATTACCATATAAGTCCAGTTCCCTAGTATTGTTTTTTTAAATTAATATTTTTATTTAAAGTTGAAGAGTTGCACCTTAAAATATATATATATATATATATATATATATATATATATATATATATATATATATATATATACTTAATTTTGAGTTTAAATTTCCTATGTAATTAATATAAAAATATTTTTTAAAGAATAAAATGTTTTTTATTTTTAAAAAAATCTTAAGTCAAATGATTAATAAAATTCAACATTACACCTTTCCTTTTACAAGAGAATTGTTTAGATATATATCATTATTTTTATGGGTTATATTTATCTTTTCTCTACTCTTACATGTGAGTCTCACTTATAATTTTATTTCTATAACATGAGATAATTATTTTCGTACAATATAAGATAAAAATATAATCCTATTTTAATATGGGGTGAGTGACATGACTTTATGTCCCCACGTTTTTTGTTTTTTTAAGTGGATATGCCCTACTTGAACGCCTGTATTTGTGGTCCACAACGGAATGCAAAATGACTTAGAAATCAATTTCTGTTTTCTACTTGCCAGTTGCTTCTGCCTACCCCCATTTGCTATTATAACAGAATCCATCTCTCTAAGACTAATATAATCTGATTAATAGCTAAGTCTTGAAGAGTGAAGGCAACTTGTTAAACATGCCTAACTGTCATATCTAGTTGCTAATCATGCAATATTAAATGCCATCTTTCCTACACCGGGGGAGTTCTTTTTATTGTTAATTATTCTTCACGAGTTATAATCGAAGGTCAGCAATGGCTCATAAGTTATGTATAAATAAGAATGACAATAATATTAAATTAAAAATATTATTATTTTATTATCAAATAGACGCGGGGTGATATATAACGTAATTTAATTGGATAGAATTCTGTTTTAGGTCAGAGTCTTCCGTGGCCAGTTTCGGGCGTATTGTTAATGGATTTAATGTTTTTAATATTATAGAAAATAAATTTAGTTTTTATACATATATAAAAGTGTATGGAGCTTATTTGAAGAGAAAGAAAAAAAATATGAAGTCTACACACTTTATGTCTGTATAGAGATAAATTCATCTTTTACAAGATAAGAAACATTAAACTCATTGTTAATTTATATCCATTTGTAGATTAGTTTATACAAATTGATCATCCCAGTAGTTCATTATTGGTCTGTATGGGCATAATTCTTAGTTTGGTACAATACGACACGCAAACCAACAGTTAGATGCGGGCCTAGTGCTAAATTAAAGGATAATAAAAGGCATTGCCTGGATCCTTGTTATTCCCCAAAACCTCTGAACAGTCTGTATTTCCAATCAACGGTCAGGACTAGCTTGTTAACACAGCTGCTTTTGAATTATAGTTTTCATAAACGGGTAAGAACTAAGAAGCATTCAATAAAATGGTATAAAAATTACGATAGGGGATGAAAATAAAAAATATTATATTATAAATAAAAATATTTACAATACAATTTAAACCGAATATGATTTCTAATTATATTTTGAATGAAGTTAGCTTAAATGTACTATAAAATCTAACATGATTTTTTTGCCTTAATATGTATTATATTTTTGTCAATCCATATTCGACTTCATATCACATGAATTTAAATGGTTTTATTTTTTAATAATACAAAATGGTTTTAATTTTAATTTTTTGTCTTATTTTACACAGTTAAATTTTTTAATTGAATTGTTAAACCAGTTTCTGTCGAAGTGTTTTTGATTTTATATCTTATTTAATTATTGTTTTATTTGTTTGGTTTATGTTTCCAAAGTCTTTTTAATTCATATGGCTTCTCATATGCCTTGCAGCGAAGCACCATGGACTTCTCTAATTGTTATTTTCTACAAACTCGTTAACAATTTATACAGTCTAATTTTTTTTTCTTTTATAAACATATAGTTCACCTTGTGCTTATTCACCAAAGCATCCACATATAAATTTTTTCCCCAAGTTCTAAGGGAGGCGGGGAGCCAACCCTAGCCTCCCATGTAGGTCCGCCACTGAATTTCAACATCAAACCGAGTCCAGCGATCAAAGCATATGAACATGATTATTTGGCATTTTGATTGCTGGTCCAGTCGTCCTCCTACGACTTGGAAAAGGTTTAATTTTTTTTTTTCTACAACTCCTAACGATATGATAAATGATCGTTTCAATTTTAATTAAGGAAAACCAAGGTCTAATTACGTTTCAAAGTAACCTCCAATTTCGAGCTCAACATCTGAGTGGAACGCAAAATAGTTTTATTTTAACAAATAACTTTTAGCACCAATTGGCACAAGAGATCCTTCTCCGCCGCACAAAAGAAAACTCACTGACTGTGTTTATTCAAACCTAATTAACTGTTTGACTTTAAGCAGATTTTGACAATATTTTGGGGGATTCTCGATTTGCACAAAATCTTGTTAGAAATTATAAACCCCGCGTATAACCAATAAATCCCTGAATAATCTTCTTGAAGCACCCATCATCAAATTAAGTTTCGAGTTCCAAGGGATGCAATATCCGCGTAATTAGAAGCGGGAACTGGATCTTCTCATCTAAAAATTAAAAAAGTGGTCATATTATTTGATCACAATCACTTATTGATGATGAGATAAGAGAGAGAAAAATATATAATTTTTAAATAAATGGTTTTGATCAAATAAAATGATCACATGACCACTTTTCCACGTAAGAAGATCCACTCACCCACACGCGTTGATTATTAGAAAATTATAGAAACACTGGAAAGCCATGAATAATTTAAGATTTAATTTCAGACATTACAGCAGAGATCACGCCGATGGATAACATTACTCAACACTTAAACTGCGCTACAAGCAGAAGCAGTCGCCAGTCCAGCAGAAGATTGCAATTCAAGTCCGCGTGGTCCACCAGTTCCACGCTGTAATTTTTGTCACTTTGTGAAGAACTAGTCAATGAGTGAGGTAATTTCGCAGATAAATAGACAGAAATAATTCGAACTACTCGAAATATAAGTTACAGTATGGTATAATATTTAGAGATAAATATTATATATACTTTTTTACATAGCTATTCTATATATTCCACTCTAATATTGATATATCAAAATTTCAACTGATAGATAGAATAAGTATAATTTTCTATCCCTAATAATTATATTGTATTTAAATTTTAAAATATAATATGTATTGAACAAAAATAATTTAAGAGGTATCAATTTTTAATTTTTATTATTTAAAATCATTATTTTTTATTTTTTATTTCTTCTTCAAATATATATTAGGGTGTAAAACTTTTCCTGCAACAAGAGAGTTAAATCTCTTGCTACAGACCCATTGAAATTCAAGTTGCTTTTATTTTATTTTATTTTTTAATGATAGGTTTATTGAATTTATGTCTACGCGAGAAAGACTTTACTTCTCCTCTCCTGTTACAATAGAAGCTTTAAATCCTATATAGAGTAAACATTTTTTTTTGTCTCTGAGAATATCTACGAAATCTTTTTTAGTCTCTGACAATAAAAAGGGACCAAATTGGTCCCTAACGGTATGCAAAAAGGGCCACGTTAGTACGGAGGAGTTGACATAAGTACTAATGTGGTCCTTTTTTCATAATTTTAGGAACTAATTTGGTCCTTTTTTATTGTCAGAGACTAAAAAAGATTTCGTAGATATTGCCAGGGATCAAAAAGGATGTTTACTCTACTATATATTATACATCAAATAATAAACAATACGTATACCAAAAAAAAAAAAAACAATACAACATAATATAATATAATGTTATATTTTATGGTATAATGAATTAAAAAATATTTTTAATGAAAAATAAGATTTTCATTTATATTGTTAGTGGGGTAATGAAACCAGCGGATCACACCACGTGGTATCCCCGTTTCGACGGGACAGAACAGGAACTAGGAGCGCCTCCGTTATTCACAGGATCGATCAACAGCTAGATTCATGGGTGGATCAGATTATTCAGATCCAGTTCCTTTCCATCTTGACCTTTTACTCTCACTGTCCCCAACCCCGTTCTTGCGCCTTCTCTCCTTAGTCCTTCCCATCTCTTTATATTTAATATTGTAGCTCTTTATATTTTATATCCGAGTTTATACTTTTCCTTACAAAATAATAATATTTATATTTTATGTATTATTTTTAGTTTTTAAAATGAAAAACTATAATTTATTAAATTTCGTTAATTTTTTAACCAAAGAATACAATATAAAAAATGTGAAAATTTCAATATATAAGTATCATTACTAAAATTAGAAGGGAAAAAAATTTAAAAGAAATGTATAAAATAAAAGTATAAAAAAAAGTGAGGTGTAAGAAGTTGTTTTGTATTATTATCTTATTTTTTTAAATATGAATTTCAATTTATTTAAAATTTATATGACACATGATTTCAGACAAGAATTTTGTAATATAATTTTTTAGACAAATAATACATTTTTTTTCTTAATTAATTAGTATATATTAAGAGAGCATAAAGCTAGAGTGGCGTCTACGTTCTCCTCGATCAATTCGCGTGCATGTGTAGTGTAAGTATATAAATAACTCAAAACCAAATCCCTTCATGCTCGCCAAAGCATGAGAAAGCTCTCTCTAGATATTCATAGTTTCTCACCGCTACTTTTAAAAAAACAAAACGACATGGTAGGCGTTTTCCGGCGTTCCCTTTCTTTTCCAAACAAAAATCCTAACCGTCCATCGCAGAAACCACCCATATCCCATCACATCAGGTCCATCAGTCTTCCATGCAGATCTCACCCTTTGATTTCGCAGATCAAGGATGAGATCAACGACCTTACCATATGGGCTTCCATTTCGAAGTCCCATCTACAAACATCCACAAACCTTTCTCATGGGTTGACCCTTCTTAAAGACACACATGAAACCCTTAGAGACATCCTCCAGCTCCCTCAGACACGAGAATCCTTCCGCTCCAATCCTACCTGGGTCGAGAAGCTTCTAGAAGATTTCCTCCGCTTCGTTGAAGCTTATGGAATGTTCCAAACATCCATCTTGGCTCTCAAGGAAGAGCATTCTTCAGCTCAGATGGCAACAAGGAAGCGAGACGAATCCAAGGTGGTTGTGTACTTGAAGGCAAAGAAGAAAATGGCCAAAGAAATGGAGAAGCTCGTGTCTGGTGTTCGATGTGTCACCCAACAACATCAACAATATGGCATGTTGCAGCAGGTTCCCGTGTCCTTGGCGTCCAATATTGAAGATAATGAACTGGGTCGTGTTATTGCAGATGTTATGAGTGTAACGGTGTCCGTTTCAGTTGCTCTGTTCAATGGGATCGCGATGTCGTTCTCGTCAAGAAGGTTGTCGACGTGGACGCAAATGATCAAGTTGTGTAGAAAAGGTAGGAGAGTGAACAAGGAACATGAAGGCATCGAAGAATTTCAGGAGCAGGAAAGCCTGGGGAATCTGAAAAAGAAGGGTGATGAAGAGGTGAGGTCACTTTTGAAGAGAATGCGGGATTTGGAGGGATGTATTTGTGGCATCGAAACTGTTAGCGATAAAGTCTTCAGGGCTTTGATCAATTCCCGTGTTGCACTGCTCAACACTCTTACTCTTACGCAGTAGATAATTGTTTTTTTATTTTTTTCAAGAAAGAAAAAAAAAAAAAAAAAAAAAGATAACGAGCTCTATGTAAGGTATCAGAAGCTGAGTAATGAGAGAAAGAGGAAGAAAGAGATCTAGTATTGAATGAGAATTATGAATCTTGAATACACTGCTATCTGTTACATTGGTTTATATATACAAAAGGCTGAACTGAATCTTAACTAATTAAGCTACTTTTACGGATACTGTTACTAACAGTTAACCGTTAGTACAGTTACACTTTCATCCCCCCCACAAACTCATGCTTGAAGGAACGAAGAGTGAGTTTGTAACTGAAGTCAGCAAACTTAGAACTGGATATAGCCTTTGTTAAACCATCTGCAATCTGCTCAACAGAGGGAATATGGTAAACCGCAACAGAGCCATTAACTATCTTTTCTCGAACAAAATACAAGTCAAGCTCAAAATGCTTTGTTCTAGAATGAAACAATGGATTCGCAGTGAGGAGTACTGCACTGAGATTATCACAGAGGATTTGAGGAGTTTTGATAGTATCAATCTTTAACTCAGCAAGCAAAGATCGAATCCAAGTCAATTCAGCTACTGTGGCTGCTAAGCACCTGTACTCTGCCTCTGTGCTAGATCGGCTGACAACTGCTTGTTTCTTGGATGACCAGGATACTATATTCCCCCCTAGAAAGACGCAAAAACCAGAAGTTGAGCGTCTGTCATCAACGTCTGAACCCCAATCCGAATCACAATAAGCAACTAGTTGTGGCTGAGGAGAAGGTTTGATGGTCAAACCAGTATCAGACGTGCCTTGAAGATACCGTAGGATGCGTTTCACAGCTCTCCAATGAGAGTCCAAGGGAGAATGCATGAATTGACACACTTTATTGACCGAAAAGGTGATATCAGGCCTTGTGATTGTAACATATTGCAGAGCTCCTACAATGGATCGATATAGAGAAGGGTTATCGAATGGAAGGCCATCATGCGCAGAGAGTCTTGTGCTGGAAACCATTGGAGTTGGTAAGGACTTGCAGTCAGTAAGTCCTGCTTTGGAGAGCAAATCAACTATGTATTTGGACTGAGACAGATGAAGTGATCCATCAGATGATGATTTTGCTTCAATACCCAGAAAGTAATGAAGAGTTCCGAGGTCCTTAAGTGAGAAAGCAGCATTGAGAGATTGAATTAGAGAAGAAATAATAAGAGGAGAAGATCCAGTAATCAGTATATCATCAACATAGATAAGCACATAAGTTGTGGCAGAATTTTTGAAGGAAACAAATAGCGAGGAGTCACATTTGGTAGCCTGAAATCCAAGATGATGGAGTGTGGTGCTGAGCTTTTCAAACCAAGCTCTTGGAGCTTGTTTTAAGCCATAGAGAGCTTTGTCTAATCGACAAACAAGACTTGAGTTGCTAGAGACGAAACCTGGTGGCTGGTCCATGAACACTTCCTCATGCAATGCACCATTGAGAAATGCATTATTAACATCAATTTGCCTAATTGGCCAGCCATGAGAAACAGCAAGGGTGAGAATGATGCGAATTGTTACTGGCTTTACCACTGGACTGAAGGTCTCAGCATAATCAAAACCTTCACGTTGGTGAAATCCCTTTGCAACTAATCGTGCTTTGTACTTGAGGATTGAACCATCAGGATTATACTTGACACGAAAAACCCATTTGCAACCAATGGATTTTCTGCCAGTAGGGAGATTCACAAGTGTCCAGGTTCTGTTTTTCATGAGGGCTGCATATTCTTCCTTCATGGCATGAAACCAGTGAGGCTGTGTGAGAGCTTGAGCCACACTGCTTGGTTCGGCACAAGCTGTAAATACACGAGGTTTAAAAATTCCAGCCTTTGCTCTAGTAACCATAGAGTGATGATTTGGTTGAGGAGCTGCTGTAGGAGGAGCTGGTGCTAAAAGTACTGCAGCATAAGTGGGAGAAGCAGCATGTGCTGCATCATTAGTGGACCTGCAAGGAGAGCTCGAGGTAGACTGTATAGCAGGTAAGTCATGATTAGTAGGATCAGAAACAGTATTAATTGAAGCATGAGAGTCACTTAATGGAGAGACTATGGGAATTATAGGGACACTGTTTGTAGAAGAAATAGAAGAGGGACTGGTAGGGAGTATAGAATCAGATAATTGTTTAAAAGGAAACTTGTTTTCATCAAAAAGGACATGAGGAGTAATGACAATTTTTCCATTTGCTGTGAGGCATTTGTAGCCTTTGTGACAAGGACTATAACCAAGGAAGGTACACAAATCAGACCTGTAATCAAGTTTATGAGCATTATATGGTCTTAGATAAGGATAACATGCACACCCAAATATCTTTAAAGGGCTGTAATTCGGTTCTTTGCCAAACAGTAATTGGTATGGAGACACATTTCCAAGACTTTGGGAAGGAAGAATGTTAATGATGAATGAGGCTGTAACAAATGCATCTTCCCAAAATTTTTGGGGTAGAGAGGAATTGGCTAGCATAGTTAGACCTGTCTCTACAATATGTCTATGCTTGCGTTCAGGAGTTCCATTTTGCTGATGGACATAAGGACATGAAAGCCTATGAAGGATTCCATGAGTTTGAAGAAAAGGCTTGAGGGCTAGGTATTCTTTGGCATTGTCTGTTTGTAAAGTTTTGAGTTTGGTGTTTAGTTGGAGTTCAACCATATTTTTAAATTGAGCAAACACAGTTGCTGTTTGTGACCTGACACGAAGTGGATACAACCAAGTGAACTTGCTAAAAGCATCAACAAAGCAGATGTAATACCTTGAGCCATGAATGCTATCTATTGGAGCTGGTCCCCAAATATCAGAAAATACAAGTTCTAAAGGACTATGATATTCTGTATTGGAAGAAGAAAAGGGCAATTGATGCATTTTGCCCATACAGCAAGAGCTACATACAGCTTTTGGTACATTTTGAAACAGTATTTTACATTGACTAAGGACAGACTTTACAGTAGAAATAGAAGTGTGTCCTAATCTACTGTGCCATAGATCAATTGAATGGCATTTATTTATGTCTTTATTTGCTTCTGTATGAACTTGGAATGCAGAATGCATTGGAGCTTGAGAGGTGCTAACTCCCTCAAAGGCATACAAGCCATCTTTAAGTTGTCCTTGGAGAAGTATCTCCTTGGTGGCCTGTGATTTGACAAAACAAGTTTTAGCATGAAATTCAAAGAAGACATCATGATCTTGAGCAAACTGTGAGACACTGAGCAGATTCTTGGACAAGTTAGGAACATGAAGTAAATTGTTTAAAGGAAAGGACAATGAGTTAGATGAGGAATGTAGAATAGAGTGACCAACATGTTCAATTTTTATACCTGCTCCATTACCTACACGAACAGTGTCATGACCTCTATAAACAGCCTTTGATATGAGATTGGATGCATCTGGAGTGAAGTGATTTGTTGCACCCGAATCAGGATACCAGGTAGGGTCAAAAACAGTACAGTACTCAGATGCATCATCTTGAATAGATTGATTTGTTTCAGCAACATTTGCTTGAAATCTGGATCCAGATAACTCTCCATGATCATACCTGTTTTGCTGCTGAAAAGGACTTGGATAGGTTTGATTAAACCTGTTATAACACTCAAAAGCTATGTGACCGAATTTTCCACACACTTGGCATTGTGGTTTGCCAAATTGTGTTGTTGATCTTGCTCCATTTCTGCCAAAACGACCTCTGGAGTTTGTGGTTCTTCCTCTGTTGAAGTTGAATCCTCGACCATGACTGTAACTTGGAGATGGAGCTCTTCTGAAATTCATTTGAGCCATATTGGCTTGTAAACCTCCAAGATCTGTTTTCTTGTGCTTCTCTATCCTTTCTTCTTGAGCCATTAGCAAGGCTTCAATCTCACCAACAGTATATGGATCTGTTCTTGAAGTAACAGATGTAATGAAAGGATCATAATCTTCACCAAGTCCATCAAGAATCGCATCAATGTGCTCTTCTGATGAGATTGGAGATCCTATTGCTGCCAAAGAATCGACAGTTTTCTTGATTTTCAATAGATAGCTTGAGATTGAGGAATCTTTCTTTGTATTCCTAAGCTGAATTTTCAGTTGCTTCACTTTTGCACGTGTCTGTGAAGTGAAGAATTCTTCGAGTTTGTTCCATATTTGAAAAGAAGATACACATCCTACCATTCTTGTATGAAAAGACTCTGACATTGAAGCCAGGAGCCAGGACATGAGTAACTGATCTTGTTGTTCATCAGTTTGATTAACTTCTCCATTAATGAACCTTTGCAGGCTGAAGCCTTTGATCGTTGCAGTGGCTTGTTGTTTCCATGGAAGAAAATTTCCATCATCCAGTTTGAAAGATACTGGATTGGAGAACGTATGAAGAGTAGGTATTGTTGTTCTTGTTGCTGATGCAGAGTGCGCAGAATTTGTGGTTTCGGTCTCCATGGATCAGATGAGCTCTGATACCATGTAAGGTATCAGAAGCTGAGTAATGAGAGAAAGAGGAAGAAAGAGATCTAGTATTGAATGAGAATTATGAATCTTGAATACACTGCTATCTGTTACATTGGTTTATATATACAAAAGGCTGAACTGAATCTTAACTAATTAAGCTACTTTTACGGATACTGTTACTAACAGTTAACCGTTAGTACAGTTACACTTTCACTCTAATGTGCCTTTTTATAATGGTTATTCTTTAACAGCATACAAGCATACGAAAATGAGAAATTTTCGGTTATACATAGCGTTATACAAATTCCGTTGAAGAAAAATAAATTATATTTTACATCTTGGTTACATGTTAAATATGTTATAACGTAACACAAATTAATTAGTTTTTTTTTCCGCCCTGTCTAAAGTTTTCGTAATTACCCCAATAAAAAAGTATTTGTATTTGTAATGTCTCAATCTTTGCTCTTTAGCGATCCCCGCAACATTATTATTTTATTATGGGAATTTTTTTTTTTTAAAAATTCTACTAGTTCATCGATTTGAATCACTTGAGATAATAGTTATCGGT